AGATTGATACATTTTACCTTTTTATCCTATAATAACCATGATTATTAAATCTATCTATACAAGCATCTGCACATAAATATATATAAAACATGCTTTGTTAATAAAATATGATCCTTTATATTAAATATGGTTTATTTTATTTTAAACTAGTTCCTTTTTTTATCCTTCTTTTGTTTCGCCTTAAATACATAAAAATTATAATTACATTATAAACATACGGTTTGTGTTTTGATTTAATAAGGTTTTTTTATAATTTTGGATTCCTTAGTAAGGTGTATTAATTATAAATTAGATATTTAGGTCCCGGAGATCTTCCTGAATCCGAAGGTATAATTAAAGTTCCAAAAAGTATAGGGGTCATTTTATCCCCAAATATGTAAAATAAAACTAACAACTCCTCTTCTTAAAAACTTTTTTTTTCACTTTGTGCCATTTTTATTTTAATTAATAATTGCGCTTTTTATTTTCCCTATAAAAGGGACTAATTTTTATGTTTATCATGATTTTATATATTAGGTTTATAAATTTTTATAATTTATAAAATGCTTGTCTATTTGATATTAAATAATTTGTGTTTTAAGTCTAAGAAGCCGAATGCAAAATCCCAAGAAAACTATAGCCCACGGAAGCCCTGGCCAAAATCGCACACAATTGCGACTTGAAAGAAAGCCACGATATATTTATATCAACGAAATTCATGGCAGGGATAAATTCAACGACCATAAAAAGTAGATTACTATCCATATCTCCTAAGCATTTTCAAGAATATATTAAAATTGCTAAAGCCGATGAATTAATAGAATCGTGGACAACAATACCCAAAAAAATTATGACAATGTACAAGGTCCAAGTACTCACAGGCAGCAAGCCTAACACTCCAGGATACAACCAATCCATTACTACCAACATCCAACTAATAATTTATTACGTTGGCTCCCGTGGATAATCCTTATACGTTGGGAAAATAGTTTTCCGTAAAATATAACGTACGTATCCATCTCAGAAAATTTCCAAGCTAAAATTTAAACTATTCTTCATTTTAACATCTCCACGCTAGGAAATTTTGGCAATAAAACTCTCTCTTTAATGAAAATTTAGGGAAAAATAATATATTACGACATGGGGGAGTCGAACAAAAGGTTTTATGCAAATCCCTTGAGGTCTGCCTGTTGAATTACATCAGCTCAACGCTCTAAGTTAAATTATTGAATATAATTTTTTATATTTCCTTTTTTCCTATACTTTTAAATGTTATTTGTTATTTTCAAAATTTCTTTCAAATATTATTACTTGTAAATGGTATATAAATAAAGAAAAATTTAGAAATTTGAATATATATATATTTATTATAATACCTTATTACTAAATATACCTAGTAATTTAATTTTAATGACTTGCTTATAGTGTAAGAAAAGCAATTGACTATATAAAAAAATTTTACCCTGAGAACTAACAACAAAATCTTTCTAAACTTTTGTCCTACCTGCTAGTTCAAGAGGTTGAGTTTAGGAATTATTTGCACTGACTTCTATCACTAACAAATATTTATTAGTTATCAAGAAATGAGATTTTTTTTGCGGATCAAAAAAAATTGACTAATTTTATATGTTCTAATATTTATTTTTATCTGATATTAATTTTATATCGGTAACGAAAATAATATAATGATCGAAAAATATTAGAATTTTCAGAAAATGCTGGAGGTTGTAATTATTCGCATTTTAGTAATTATTATTTTTTAAATAAAATAAATAATTAGTGTTCTTCAAATTTTTATTTATTATTTTGTAATTCGTAGCTTAGCGGTTACATATTGATATAGTAAATTTTTATTAAATTCAATCAATCATGATAGGTTTTACTACAATATCTCGTGAACAACTTTTTATACAACTAGGTTTTATAAATAATTTATTACCATGTTTTCTATCCTATCTGAAAAACTCATATCCCAGTAATCAATAAAAATGCCTTATTTTTTTTATCATATACAGTAAAACCTGTCTAATTTGGGCTCTTGATATTTCAGGCAACTCTTTAATTTCCAAAATCTTGAATCCTAATAAAATTTCTATTAACTGCTATTAACTTTGATATATTGGGCAAATATCTTGGTCCAACAGTGCCCAAATAGTCAGGTTTTGCTATATTATAAAATTCTAATATATATTTTCTTTTTTTTATTTAAGCAAAAAATTATTGTTAGCTTATTATATTATTACTAATGTAAATAATTTTTTAACATTGAAATAGTTCCCTAAAATTTTTAAAAAATGTTAGTTACAAGGTCTCGAAGTTTGATTGACGATATAACCATAAAATCGTAAGGTGTACTCAACACGCCTAAAATATTTATCATTTTAGGGCAAAACTTTTTTTGAACACTCTTTAATCAGGGCCGTAGCTATGGGGAGGGGAGGGCAGCCCCCCCCCAAAAAAAAAAAAATTTTGGCTCCCAATTCTGGCCCTTAGGAAAAATCTTTGGCTTCAAAACATGGCCCCCATAAATTTTTCAGGTCCCCAAATTTAAAAAAAATTTTTGTGATATATTATTTTTATATTTTTAAAATAAATTTTAAATATTTATTCAAAAAACATGTCTAGTTTGTAAATTTCTTTCTATACTGTTTTATTTTTATCCAATAATAAATCATCATTCATTCATATTTTATCATTTTCATGTATGTTTGTGTATGACATTATATAAGCGCTTAATCACGTTTAAATTGTACCTATTTCAATGATAATTATTTTATTTATTATGGTTCAATCATTATTATTATTATAATATAACCAGTTATTTAAAATAGCGGTGAATATTTTAGTATTATAAAAAAAAATACTGAGAAAACAACAATTTTGGTAAGCCAACAAATTAACCATAATCTTTACGATCTTAAATCAATATTTATTTGATGCTATTTCTTAGCATACAAGGAGCTACCTTTTTGTGGGATTGGTTCACTAAAAATTAATTAGGGATGCTACAACTGATGAAAACATAATTTATTCTTCTAGACTATTTATAGCAATGTTTTCATCCACCATTCAAAAAAATCCTGAATTAAATAAAATTATGAAATTTATACCCAAAAATGCCCAATATACATCACCCCATCACCCCAGATTCAAAATGAAGTGATATCTATTATGGCAGATATGGTATTTGAATATATTTTAGATAAATATAACAAGAGATGCCTTTTATTAGTCTTAAGGCTGATGAGGCAAAAGATGCACTAGGTTGTGAAAACCTGAACATAATTATTCGTATATTTTTTCTGAAGATGTCCAAGAAAATTTAATAGGAATTAAATTGCATTTTATAGCAAATTAATGAGTTAAATATTTATTCAGCGAATATAATAAGCCAAGCATATGATGGGGTAAACGTTATTTATGGTCGAAATAAAAAATGCAAACCCTACTTCAAAAAAAAATTAATAAAAAAGTTCCTTTTATACATTGCTACAACCACATGTTGCATCTTGTGGTTCAAAATTGGAATAATAATATTGTTATCATTTCTAATTTTTTTTATTTATACAATACGTTGTATAATTCTTTAGGTGCTTTAACGTATCCTGTAAATATGCAAGCCATACTCTTAAGAGACTTTGAGACCAGAGGTAAACTGGTCATTTGAAAGCATCTCGCATTTATGAGAATTTTGAGGCTATTGGTGAAGTATTATTTTACTTTTCTAATAGAACGCTTAATTCGGAGGTTTTCTCTCATGATTCAGTCGAAGCCTCTGGTCTTTTATCATATTGAGTTAATATAAATTACGTTATATTAGCCATTATAATTTATGAGATATAATAACAATAGATCCACTAAATAAGTATCTACAGTCAGTAGGTACTAATCTAGTGGATGTTAAAAATTGTATTCATTTTACTATCAATATATTAAAAAATAAAAGAAACGGTAATTCTTTTGATTTGATTAGAATTAAGGCTGAAAAACTTTTAGCAAAATTTAATCTCACTCCCCAGAAGTAATCAATGGTACGTAAAACGCCTATAAATTTTCAAGATTTTTTAGTCGAGACCAAATTACAATTTGATTGTAAAAAAGACTACAATTGGAGTTCTTTAAAAATAAATTATTATGAAATTATTGATTACTTTATGTTGATCGTTTTTTAGATAGATTTACACAAGATGACTATAATCTTCTATCATGTTTTAATACATTGTCCCCCTTTTACCCTGATTATTTTATATCGGATAAAATTGCCCCATTAAAATCATTATTAAACTTAAATATGGAAACGTTACACCATGAAATGAAAATAGTCAAAGGATTATTAGCTGCAGAAGTTAAAGAAACACATAATTTTGAAAATTTCCTAAATATAATGTATAAAAAAAATATCATCATGCATTTAAAGAATTGTATAAATGCTACTCACAGCCATTATCATTAGGGTACCAACGGCTTCTTGTGTGGCCTCTTCTTTACAATAAAGAGAGTTCTATCGAGCACTAGAGAGTCGATGAAAGATCAACGTAAGCAAAATTATGAAAAAAAAAATAACACAAAATTTATCCTTTAATTCATTTATATTAAATTTTAAAAATCAAAATCGTCGTTATATTATAGTATTATATTTTGTATATTCATATTATAGTATTATTTTGTATTCATATTACATTAATAAATTTTTAATAAAAATAGCAAAAAATTTCTATGAATGCTTAATTATTTGTTTATTTTAAAAAAATAGTGACCCCCTCAAGTAAGCAGCTGGCCCCCTAGCTGAAAATTCCTGGCTACGGCCTTGTCCTTAATAAATAAAAATTAATTTTTTATCATGCCAAATAATCTACCGACATCACTGTATTAAATTCTCCATTACTTTTAGTCACATAGTTTTGTTCAAATGGATGGTAACTTTTTAAAAAAAATAGTGTCCTCTTGCGATATAAAAAATATTATTTAAATATTTTGTTATAGTTTTAAAATATCATTTCTACAAAATTTCGCGTAAAAAGCCCATCCAAAAATTATTGATAGACTCACTTCTAACGAAACCATAGTATCTGAATATTCAAACATATTATTGAGATGCGAAGCTACGGGAAACCCGCCACCAAATATTAGCTGGGCTAAGTTTCATAACTTATATCAGTTTACTCACAAACAAAAGTTCATCGATAGCACCATAAGTCATAAAAAAAATGGTATTATTGTTTTATCTTTTTATTATTCTTTTAAATATATTTAAAAATTTTCAACATAATTATAAAAAATTGAATAATATAATTTGTAAGGATAATAATTCTGTATACTTTTATTTAATTTATTCTTATCTTCAAGCCATATTTAATAGCGCTAACAGTAACATGCTTATTCTGAACAATATCACAAGATTTCAAGCTGGAATATATGTATGTTTAGCCGATAACGGAATTCCACCAGCAGTTAGCAGACAAATAAGTGTTAACGTTAATTGTAAATAATATACTATATATTTTTTAATAGATTTCTTGATTTATCTATAAACAAGATTGATTATACACTTACATTTAGAAATATAAGTAAATACAAACAAAAAAAATTGTTTAAAAAAAAATAAGGTAAAAAAGATTTTATTTTAAAATACTAACTTAAGGACAGTATGATAATTTCCACTATGAAAAAACTCCACTCCCCATCTTAATGAATTATATTTAGGGCCCCCAATTCCTTTGATGTCCCCACATGCTAAGAAATTTAAATTTTTAACACAAAAATAATTATAAATTAGATCACCACAATTTGTTCCATATTTAAGTATAAGCATACACTTATTAATCTATTTTGATTGGTTATCAAAGAAATTATATATAAATAGTAGATAGCCCGTCAAAAATGACGGGGAATGAGAATTCCGGTAAAACTGGTACTTTAACAGGCTTCACAATAGCCGAGGGAGTTCATCAAGGGTCGGCTCTCAGCCCACTTCTCTTCATAACAGTAATAGATGTATTATCACAGTCTATACCTCAAACAGTCCCGTGGAATAGATATTTGCAGATATTGTAATACTTGCCGAATCCAAGGATGAAATGAAAGAACTAATAGTGAGTTGGATAAATATCCTAGAAAAGCATGGACTAAAAGTAAATAGAAAAAAGACGGAATATATAGTGATAGGAGAAGATAAAACAGAGAGCATTGACATAAATGAATGGCATATACCGGCAATTGAAAACTGCAAATATTTGGACTCCACTATTCAAAACGGCACAATAGAGAAAGAGATAAAGAGTAAAATTAATCAAGGGTGGTTAAAGTGAAGATCTTTATCTGGAGTGCTCTTTGACAAAAGAATCCCGCACAAATTGGAGAGAAAAATATACAGTTCCATAGTACAACCAACTTTTCTATATAGTTCTGAAACATGGCCAACCAAAGAATCAGACGAGAGAAGTCTACAAACTATGGAGATGAGAATGCTGAGGATGATTGCTGGGGTAACAAGAAATAAGATGCAAAGTACAAGAATACTAGGAAGTTTAATGGTATTGGCCATTAAGACTAAGATAATGGTAAACAGACTTAGATGGTATGGGTACACAATGAGAAAGCCTATGAACTATATAGGAAATAAGGTTGAGAGTTTGGAAGTGATAGGCAAACGTAAAAGAGGAAGGCCAAAACTTCTGGGGCCATAAAGTTAGAGCCAATCACAAAGCACACCTTGGTAACACAAAACTCTCATCTAGCAAGAATAAATTTTTAGGTTAAAAATTACAAATACAAATGAATAAAAATTTAGTTTAAAAGATTTTTTAATTGTGCACCTAAATTAAAATTACATATATATACTTCATTAATATATTTTATAAAAATAATGGAAAATTTTAGAATAACCCTAAATAAATATAAATTTTTAAATAACACCTCATAAGATAGGAAAATTTCTGATTCATCCATCATCAAATAAATGAGAAAATTGTGATTCCCCAAAATAATGGTATAAAATTTTAAATTATATAAATTCAAGAATTAAATAGTATTTAAATAAATCTCTTATTCCTCTTGAATTGGTACTTGATGCATTTAAATTTCTACTGATCCCTAAATATTCAGGAACAGGTATTGCACATTCTAGTTTTTCTTCTGAACTGATATTTTTCATATAAATATATATGGAACAATGATATTTATTGGTATAGATTTAAGAGGAGGAATAAAAAGTGTTTGATTTTCTAACTCTAAAATAATTAAAAATTTAATTTGATATAAACTACTATTTCTGAAAGTGCCATCATCACATCTATATATATAAATTTATAATTGCTATCAGCTAAACCAAGCAATTGATTTAAAAATTCTATAATAGGAAAATGGGTTCCAGATTTTGCAGGACTTTTTATTTTTATGTGCTTACCATCTAATGAGCCAAGGCAGTTTGAAAATCCATATTTCTCAAAATATTCTTGTGCAATCTAAAATGTTAGATTTTCTAAAATAATTAAAAATTATTTATTAATATTAAAAATATACTTTGGTATAAACTACTATTTCTGAAAGTGCCACCATAACATCTATTATATAAATTTGTAATTGCTATCAGCTAAACAGGGTTGCCAGGTAAAAATTTTCAAATTGCGGGAGAACTTTGGTATTTTGCGGTAGAAATATAAAAATGCTTTAAAAAAAATTTTGGCGGGCCAAAGGCCCGAAGAATCCGCCTATTATTTTTTATAATTACTTTATATAAATACAAAGTCGGTAACTATTTTTCAAAGTAAAATAGGTAACTATTTTTCAAAGTAAAATAGGTAACTATTTTAAAAAATAAAATAGGTAACTATAGTACCTGACAAATTTTTTTAAAAATATCATCTTGATTTATTAAAATATATTAATTTTATAAAAAAATAAACGATTTTAATTTTACAATGTAAAATATATATTTATTTTTGCGACTGTATATATAAGATTTTATAAAATATAAAAAAAATATGGAAAATTAAATAGAGTTATAATGTTAATTATATTTTATTTGAGATTTAAATAATGAAACTAAACGCTTACCGTCGTTATTGAGATATTTAAAAAATTCCTGGCATGACATATTATAATTTTATTTAACCATTAGCTCGGCCTTAATGTTGTTAGAGTAATCCGATTTTTCTCCTTTCTCCAGGCAGTCCCCATCAGGCTAAAAATGCTCTCCAATAGCGCAGTAAAATATATTATCAATTTTTAACTGCAAAGATTACACAGCTGCAGCATAATCTTGCGAATCTTTATTAATAAAGATTCTTCTGATTGCAACTGAATATTAATAGCATGTAGTAGATTTCCTACATGTGAAACCATTCTTAAATATGCTTCTGCCATTTCATCTTCGATAAAAATTTTCAAAACTTTAGGACAGCTTTTGTAATCTTTATTTAAGAAGTATTTTTTTAATGGATCGTAAAATTTTGAAATTCTATCGATGGCAGTTATTAATGATAACCACCTGATAGGGACAAGGCTCAACACTCACACCATTCTAAGTCAGACTACTCACCAACTCTTTTAAGTCATTAACTCTTTTAGTTGATGAACTAAATTTATTAAAACATTTTATCACAATTATTTCGACATCCACAGCCAATTGATATTAGGTCATTATTGTACTGCCTCAATTCGGTAAATACACTTTGGTTTTTGCCAAAATTCACAGAGACCATATCAGAGCAGAAAGCTGACATGCAACTCATTGATAACCCTTAATCAGCTATATTAACATTATGTGGTTAGCTATATCGCTGGATATTTCACTGTCCGAGGAAAAGAATTTTAACAGCTTATTTTCTTATATATTTAATTTAACCTGAAAGTGATAATTAAGCGCCAAGCCCTATAATTTTATATACAAACACACTGAAATAAAATAAGAATGAGAATGTGATGATGAATGATGTTGTTTTATTATTGGATAAAAATAAAACAGGATAGAAAGAAATTTAAACTAGACAGTTTTTCGATTAAATATTTAAAATTTATTTTAGAAATATAAAAATAATCAATTACTATCTCTCCAAATTATTATTTATATATTAAAAACATTAAAATGCTAAAAAAAAAATTGTGCGGGAGAAATTTAAAAATTGCGGTAGAATTTTGCGGGACCAATTGGGTTAGTTTTGCGGGAGTGAGATGTCTATGTATAAACTAAAAAATTACGGGAGTCTCCAGCAAACGGAGGGAGACATGGCATCAGACCCAGGGTTGCCATGGTATTTTATTTAAAATATGAAAATTGCGGTAGAAATATAAAAATTACTAAAAAAAAATTGCGGGCCGAAGGCCCGCATAGTGCTTGCCTTTGGGCGGGATTGTGAATTAGTTCTTATAATTTCTTTATATAAATATTAAAAAAGTCAGTAACGTTTTATAATTTATAGGTAATATTTTTCAAATTAACTTCTTTGTCGTGGAGTTAAAGAAAATAATTAAAATCTCCTCAAAGAAGACCTTAATGTCTGTCGATACTTTTATTTTTTTTCTCTTTAGCATTCACCTTTTCTGGTGGTAAGCTCCTTCAACATCTCTCTCCACTTTATGTTATTAATACAATCTCTTTTATCTAATTTATACTTCTTTATATTGGCTCTAACTTTATGGCCCCATTGAAGTTTTGGCCTTCCTCTTTTACGTTTGCCCATCACTTCCAAACTCATAACTTTATTTCCTATGTAGTTCATAGGCCTTCTCATTGTGTGCCCATACCACCTAAGTCTGTTTACCATTAACTTAGTCTTAATGGGCACTACCTTTAAACTACTTAGAATTCTTGTACTGCGCACTTTATCCTTTCTTGTTACCCCAGCAATCATCCTCAGCATTCTCATCTCCATGGTTTGTAGACTTCTCTCGTCTGATTCTTTGGTTGGCCATGTTTCCGAACTATATAGAATAGTTGGTTGTATTATGGAACTGTAAATTTTTCCCTTTAATTTGTGTGGGATTCTTTTATCAAATAGCACTCGATACTTTTAATAAATTCATTAAATAACAAAAACCATCAATTGATGGTTTCTGTTCCAAGGTAATAATATCTATACATTTGTAAATCGAGTTATTGAAATCAAATTTTGATTGCAAATATTCTAAAATTGTCTTAATAAAAAATATATATTTTATTTAAAAATACATTAATTAAAGTAATATTTGAACATTTTAATATGATTTCAGCAATAGCCTAATAAAATTATTGTCAATTTTTAACTGTAGCGGTGAACACAGCTGCAGAATAATTTTGTAAATCTTTATTAAAAAAGCTGATTGCAACCACATATTAACAACATGTATTAGATTTCCTACCTTTGAAATCATTCCTAAATATGCCTCTGCCATTTCTTTCTAGAAAAAATTATTCCAAATATTAGGACAGCTTTTATAATCTTTATTTAAGAAATATTTAAAAGGTTTGTAAAATTTTTAAATTCTATCAATGGAGGGTATTAATGATAACCACCTGATAGGGACATGTCGCAACAACTCACACCATTCCAAGTCAGACCACTTCACCAACTCTTTAAATTCATTAACACTTTTAGTTGATTAAATTCGTTAAAACATTTCATTAAAATTATTTCGACATTCACAGATAATACATTCATTCATTGCATTGCAAGAATTATATAGTATATGGTATATACGGCCAAATGGCATTAAGTCAACATTGGGCTGCCTCAATTCTGTAAATACACTATGGGTTTTGAATTCACTGAGCATTGTCAGCGCAGAAAGCTGACATGCAAATCATTGAGAATCTCCAATCTACTATATTTACTATTATATGGTTAGTTATGTCTTAGGATTTTTCACTATCTAAGGAAAAAAATTCAATAGTTTTATTGAAACGCTCTTATTTTTATTGAAATAGCGGAGGTAGGTAAATGTTTTAACATTTCCCATATTAGATGTATCTGTTAGAATTGCATATGGATATCCATCTTTCAAATCGTCAAGAATTGACCTCCTGGATTCAGGTCATAAAACATTGGTGATAGCGTTGCTCATTTACACTGATTATAATAATGTGATTAAACTATAATAAATAATAATTATCATTGAAATAAGTACAATATTACCTTATTATGTATTTAAACGTGACACGTGATAATTAAGCGCCTAGCCCTATAATGTTATACACACACATGAAAATGAAAAAATATGAATAAATGATGTTAATTTATTATTGGATAAAATTAAAACATATGATTGGGGTAAGGATAGAAAGATATATAAACTAAACAGGTTTTTTGAATAAATATTTAAAATTTATTTTAAAAATATAAAAATAATCAATTACTGTTTCTCAAAATTATTATTTATATATTAAAAACGTTAAAATGCTAAAAAAAAATTGTGCGGGAAAAATTTAAAAAATACGGTAGATTTTTGCGGTAGATTTCCAATTGCGATAGATTTGCGAGAGTGAGATGTCTGCGTGTAAACTAAAAAATTACGAGTCTCCCGCTGATGGGGGGAGTGGCAACCCTGAGCTAAATCAAACAATTGATTTAAAAGATCTATAATTGTAAAAATGGGTTTAAGATTTTGCAGGACTTTTTATTTTTATGTGCTTACCATCTAATGAGCCAAGGCAGTTTGGAAATCCATGTTTCTCAAAATATTCTTGTGCAATCTAAAAATATATTAATAT